CACTGTAAGTCATAACCCATAACTACTCATCTACTAGATAATAATACGTATGTACAAATACATACATGTATACTTAGTATAAAATAACAATGTAGTTTTTGTGTATTTGAACTTAAATGTTTATGTTTTATTATTTTTATTCAAAACACTAAATACATTCTAATTATACCTTATAATAATTCATTTTATATTTTTATTTATTTAAATATAAAATTTATTGACCAATGTATAATTTCGCGACATTTAACCGGTTAACGGTATCGTTAAACACGTTTTGTCACTTCGGTTCGTATATTTGTCAAATTTAGATCCTTCACAACTACTAAGCACAAGTTTTACACAAAATTTAACTTACTCATCAACTAGAGACATGTTGATACAAAAATTAAGTTTGTTGTATTCAAATGACGTTATATGCTAATTTTCACAAACCAGTGATGGTTCGTAGTCATACATCGTAACGAAATTTATCATGAGTTACTTGTTTTATATTTCACAAGAACTTATCAAATTTAAAATATGTTAAATTCCTTCAACCAATTTTGGTAAAATATATATATTGCATAATAATCAAAACATCACATTGTACGATCGTTCATATTTTTACCAATTGTTACATTCTCCCCACGTTAAAAGAATTTCGCCCCGAAATTCAACTTTTAGACAGGATATCACTAAACAATTGGGGGTATTTATTTTTCATTTGATCCTCACGTTCCCATGTGAATTCTGGTCCTTGCTGAGAGTTCTAACGAACTTTCACGATAGCAATACGACTTTGTTTTAAATGCTTCACTTCTCGATCCATAATTTCCATAGGTTCTTTTACGAAGTGGAGTTTTGGGTTTAGTTGTATCTCATCGAGAGGTATTATGTTGGTGTTGTCGGACAGACACTTTGTTAGGTCGGATACATGGAATATGTCGTATACTTTGCGTAGTTCTTGAGGTAGCTTTAGTCGATACACAACAGGACCAATTCTGTTAAGAATTTCGAAAGGTCCATTGTATCTTGGGTTAAGCTTTCCACTTTTGCGAAAACGAATCATACCCTTCTAGGGTGAGACTTTTAGCATCACTCTATCTCCAACTTGGAATTCTAGTGGTTTACGCCTTATATCAGCATAACTTTTTTTTTTGTTGGTCACACGTTGCCTTAAGTCGATCCTTAATTCGAATGATCTTCTCGGTCGTTTCATGGATTATCTCTGGCCCAATATGCAACATGTCATTTGTGTCTGCTCAGGCCAACTGGGTATCTCCGACCTCTGCCCAACATATAGGCGATCACCATTTGCGTCCATATAAAGCTTCAAATTGTGCTGCTTTGGGGCTGGTGTGATAACTATTACTTTAGGGAAACTCAATCAACAGAAAATGAGTATCTGATGAATTTCCAAAGTCGATTACACAAGACCATAGCATCTCTTCTAGGGCCTGAATGGTTCGTTCACTTTAACCATCTTTCTGTGGGTGGTAATTTGTGCTCATATCCAAGCAGGTTCCCAAGGATTTTTGAAGTGGGTGCCAGAACTTTGACGTGAACCTACTATCCCTATCCGAGATAATAAAAGTTGGCACTCCATGAAGTTTGACAATTTCCCTTAGCTACATTCTTGTCAGCTTTTCTATTTTTCCGGTTTCCTTGATTGGTATGAAATGGGAAAACTTAGTTACTCTATTAACCATTACCCAGATAGTTTCATAACAACTAGGATTCCTGGGCTGCTTTGTGATAAAGTCCATTGCAATTTGCTCCCATTTCCACTTGGGAATCTCAGGCTTTTGCAGTAATCCCGATGGCTTTTGATGCTCTGCATTGACTTTAGAGCAAGTCAAGCATTTGCCCACATAAGTGGCAATCTCATCCTTCATATTAGGCCACCAATATAACTTCTTCAGATCTATATACATCTTGTCAGAGCCAGGATGTATAGAATACCTTGATCTGTGAGCTTCATCCATAACCAAGCTTCTAATGTTACCAAACTTTGGTGTCCAAATTCTGTTCATGAAATAACGAGTTCCATCATCTTTATGCTCGAAACATTTATCGATTCCTCGTAAAGCTTCTTCCTCAACATTTTCCTCTTTCAGAGCATTTAGTTGAGCTTCATGAATCTAGGTATTAAGGTTGGAATGGATGGTCATACTTAGTGCCTTTACTCGTTGAGGTTTAAATAACTAGTAATGTATTTTCCTGGTACATGATCCCTGCCTGGTCCTTCTATAATTGCCTTGTGCATACACATCATATAAAATGAAGATCAAATAGACGGTCGAATATGTGATTCTACCTTAAGCCCATAACCAAACAAGGAACATGAAGTAAAGAGGACTCACAAATTCTAAGTCTATAGAATCTTAATTATATACAGCCTTAACGTATACACCTAGCAAGCCTAAATTACCAACAAGGGTACTTAGTTTCTATATGAATGACGTGACTATTCTGGGTGAGAAGATAATTGGTGATCCCTACCTGGTCCTTTTACAATCGCCATGTGCATACACATCATATATAATCAACATCGAATAGACGGTCAAATAAGTGATTCTACCTTAAGCCCACAACCAAACAAGGAACAGGAAGTAAAGCGGAGTCACAAATCCTAAGTCTATAGAATCTTAATTATATACAACCTTAACGTATACACCTAGCAAGTATAAATTACCAACAAGGGTACTTAGTTTCTATATGAATGACGTGACTATTCTGGGTGAGAAGATAATTGGTGATCCCTACCTGGTCCTTTTACAATCGCCATGTGCATACACATCATATATAATCAACATCGAATAGACGGTCAAATAAGTGATTCTACCTTAAGCCCACAACCAAACAAGGAACAGGAAGTAAAGCGGAGTCACAAATCCTTAGTCTATAGAATCTTAATTATATACAACCTTAACGTATACACCTAGCAAGTATAAATTACCAACAAGGGTACTTAGTTTCTATATGAATGACGTGACTATTCAGGGTGAGAAGATTATTGGTGATCCCTATCTGGTCCTTCTACAATCACCTTGTGCATACACATCATATATAATCAACATTAAATAGACGGTCGGATAAGTGATTCTACCTTAAGCCCACAACTAAACAAGGAACATGAAGTAAAGTGGAGTCACAATTCCTAAGTCTATAGAATCTTAATTATATATAACCCTAATGTATACACTTAGCATGAATAGATTACCAACAAGGGTACTTATTTTGATTATTGCAATATCTACCGTGTAAGTTTAATGAAGTTGGCGAAATTCATGTTTTTGTCGTGTTTTGAAGCTTATGGTCGATAAAGCTCTTATCGGCACCAATATTAATTAATACTGAAGCCTAAACATTGTTGATATGAAATGTACCAATAATCATAGGTGGTTCTTGGAGAGCATCTCAAGCAGTGATCATAAGTTCTCTTTCATTGCCACCCTGATTCTTCAGTTTCGGGCATTCTTTCCTAAAATGCCCTTGTTGATTGTATTCAAAACAGTTACGGCTTCCTCCTGCCGTAGTGGTTGAGGTTTTTTTTTTTTGAATTACTTCGAGATGTGACTTCTCATGTTACATTTGTTATAGATTTCTTCCCTTTTATCTTTGGAGCCAAACCCCATGTATAACGCTCCACTTTCTTGCTTTCCAGTTTCCCAGGCCTGGACACAGGTGTGCAAGGTCATTAAACTTCGTCGTGTAAGTCTTGATATCAGAACATTTCATTTTTAGGTTCCAAAGCTAATGTTCTAGGTTTTGTACTTCCTCTCGGGGGCAGTACTCTGTATTAAAAGTTCCTTCATGTTTTCCCTGACATTGAGTTATCCATCGAGAAACCCAAAGTTTTTTTTTTTTTACATGGTCAGTCCAGTATGTTAGAGCTCCGTCCATCAAGGTGCTTGCGGCAAAACACACTTTTCTACCCTCAGCGCAGTAGCACATGTCAAAAACAACTTCAAATATTTCAAAACAACAAGTTTAACCCACAATGCCTTCGTTGCCATAAAAGTTTCTTGGCTTGCAATTTATGAAGTCCTTATAGGAACAATTTCTTCTAGGCTCTTCTGGATGCGAGTGAAGAGTGCTTCCAGCTCCGTTTCCCAATCCGTTCACTTCCACGAGTCGCCTTCCATCATTCAAGCTCCTTGTAGTTGCCATTCCAATTGTAAGGCGTTCCGAAAGTAGTCGTTCCATTTTTTTTTATAGTTTGAGGAAGTCCTGACTCGGGCGGTGGTTGAATTAGAGTGCTAGAAGTTGGCGTTTCTGGAGTTACAACCGGCCTTCTGGTTGGTCGACCTCTTCGGGTTCGTCCCATAGCTGGTTCGATAGTTGGTGTTACTTCGGGGTGTAATCTGGTGTTCCTTCTTAGAGGTATTTTGATTTCTTATTAGTAGTAGAGATTTAGTTTGTGATGTTTTTGTTAGTTCTCTTATAATGTTTTAGTCACGATTACGATTTATATAAGGGTTCAAAAAGATTTCTAAACTTAATAACATATGTTTTATTATAATCAAACATTATCATCCAGTACATTAGTCTTTACCATTTTCATAATGTAAAGACTTACAAGTAGTGGTACAAAGACCTACAAACAAACAAATAAAGTTTACTTATTCTTACATATCCTAATACTTATCTGACAAGTTTGTCACCAAACTTTTTAGTATCTCAA